ACTAAGCTGCCCATCACCTGAGGAATGGATGAAAAAGATGTGGTGTTTTTATACAATGGAGTATCACTCAACTATAAAGAATGATAAACTTGAAGCATTTATATTGAAGTGGATGCCACTTGAACATATACTCATAAGTGAAATAAACAAGACACACATGTGTAAATATCATATAGTCTCCCTATATAAGAACTCCAAAGAAGTAATACAAATAGAAAGGTATAACATAATTAAAAGTAAAGCGAGAGCTTGAGGATTAGACAACATAGACAGGGCAAGGAGAAACTCTAGGAAATATGACAGGGGCAAAGCCATACATTTATATGCACAAGATGAGTAAGGCAATGATCCTATGAAAAATCAGCAGGTTTTTTAAATTAGCAGTTAACTGGTAGGATTCTCACACTGACTAACTACATATGCTGATACCTGTGAACTAAGCAACTGTACTGAAGACAGCAATGTGTAATAGTAGGATTATGCTTGGAATGCCTGTCATTCTGGTGTTCTAAATACAGACTGCTTGTCATGACATACCAATTATTGCATACTGTCTCTCAAGTAAATGTTTGCTGAGAAAAAAAAAAGGGTAATAAGTGAAAAATAGAGACAAGAAATAAAATGTCACAGAACTGTCCTGCTACAATGCTGTATATGGTTCAATTTCTAAATTTCGGTGTAAAAATATGTGTTTATTCATACTTTTTAAAGTATTTTTTCATATTTTTAATTTTTTTCTTCATATTCTGTAGGGACTTAAAGTTTAACATATCAATACTTGATGGAAAATACCTGTTCCATATTATGCCTAAGATGTTTGATATTCAGACACATCATTAGTTAAACTCAACTGCATACATTGTAGGGTAATAATAAGCGTCTCTTCTGTAGGATTAACAATCTCAGTTTGCAAACCAAAAATTAGAGAAAAAGAAGGGCTTCAAGGTCAGTCAACATTTTGGCCCTAGCCTTTCAAGGTCAGTGAGAACTCAGGACATAGGTGAACCTGTACTGTAACATCATGTAACTCAGCTGTGTTCTGAACTTTTGGAGACATGGAGATTATGAGGCCACGGAGGAATGTGATCGATGATGTAGATTGTACCTAAGGAGAGCCACATGGAGAGAAAACATTCTCTCAGGCTTTCACAGAGAGCAAACTGATCAAGCAACGGCTGTGACTCTACCACATGGCTGACACAAACAAAGGATCTACAAACTGCTGTAAAGGGTTTCAGGATAAATCCTGAGGGGATATGACTGACCTTATGAGATATACTACCTGTTACACTACCTGTTATATAGATCAGAAGTTACACTACCTGTTATATAGGTCTTGCTTTATCTTGGTCTTAACCATCCAGCAGAAAGGTATAAAAATGAAGCAGAAGAGGTGAAGCCGTGTTGGTATGTTGGGCTGGATAGGGCTCAGTTCAACAACTTCTGACATTGCCAGTCCTGAGGATGACCCACTACTATCATGGACTACTGGACTATATTGGAATATTTTGCTGAATTCATGCACCTACAATATTTAAATGACGATGGAATACCCTTCTCTGACAAAACTAAACAAACAAGGGGATACAAATGAATGACCATTTTATATCTGTATATTCAAAATAGGATTAATATATAGCTACATTCTCTTAATTCAATGAATAAGACAATTTGTTCTAATAGTGTTTGTGGATGGGATGTCATGTCTGCATCTTGTACAACGAATAACCACTGAGACAACTATCTGCAATGTATTTATTATTGAAACTGTCCTACTGATCAGTTTTGAAACTGTCTCACTGGTATTTGTTTCTGAATAAAATTATTTAAAAAGTTACAGTAAACATTTAATATTTTGTAATTTTTTTTTTTTTTTTTTTTTTTTTTTTTTTTTTTTTTTTTTTTTTTT